CAAATCAAACAATTCCCTGAAGTTCCACTTAAGTCCAGTGTTCATTTATTCACTGGGATTTCCGCCCACGTTGAGTTATCAAGCACCCAGTGAGCTGTAACTCCTTTCTTGCCTTAGATGGCCAGATCACAGAGGAATAAAGGAATGTGGTCTAGACACAGCACACCAATCCTTTGCAGCTCCTTCTCTGGTCTGCTGGCTGCATCTTCACTTTGTTGCTTTAAACCAGGAATGTAGCAACACAGAGAGAGAAACATACAGTGGCCACAAGGGTTGGACTTGCATCTTGTAAAGACTTGCATTTTCTCATCTTCTGCAGAGCTATGTATTCATTGCTTATCTTGAATGGATAGATCATCTTGACGGTGATGGAGGAGTTACATTATCAACAGTCTCAGGATATTACAACACTTTTCTTAGATTTCAAACTCAGACAACATTCTAAAAGTGAGTTTTTCAGATAACGTTTGATAAACTGGTCATTTTTGGATGGTTGAAAATATTTCTAAACCTCTTACATGGAACAAACACTTTCATTCCATGAAGCAGTTAGCCCCCCCCCACCATAAACAATACAACTCTCCTATCGAAGTCGACAATCAAAGTCAAACCTCCAAGTTTAAAATGCCACCCGGGAGCATTAACAGAACCCATTAATCCCCCCGCTGCATGAGAGAAGCTTTGAGGAGCCCACTTTGCCAAAATGTCTGTTTACTTTCCATCATGCTTCAGTGAACCTTACTTTTGCTTTGTTGATTGGCAAAATGCTTTTTTCCAACAATCTATTGTAACAAATTCAAAGGATGGTTTCCACAGAGAGAAAGACCTTTATTGGACCCTTTTTGTAAATTTGTCAACTTACAACAGCAAAATAGGAAAGCAAAATGTAAGATTTTGGATAAAATTTTGGAAAGTATAATTCCATAAACAGCATCGATCAATCTATCGTATAAGAATTGAGATATTGTTCAATTACTAAATGAAGATGTCAGATAGGAACAGCCAATAGTTCCCAGTAGGTTCACTGTCACTCAGGAGGAGCTACACAAATCCACAGTTCAGGTTATCGATGCACTTTATAAAAGTTTCCTAAAGGAAAAAGAAAGGACAATGTGGAAAGGAAGCCATAGAAAGTCCAGTCTGCAGTTTCTCAAAAGCAATACACTAGATATAGGTAATGAGTATAAGAAGGTGCTCAGGGGGGTGGAGAAATCAGCTGAACCATTTGGCCATATTAAAAATAATAACAGTGCACGCCACCCTGATAATTATCACACAGTAAAACAAGGTGGTGGCAGATTCTTACTGTGGGGATGCATTTCTTATGCAGGGAAAGAGAGGCTGGTTAGAGTTAAAGGTAAGCTGATCCATTTATAACGTATATCACAGGTCATGGATTAGCGGACCAGGGTCCACCTGCTGGCTAATCCGGACTCAACCTGATTTAAAACATTTATTACCGCATGTTGTCCGGCGGCAGTGTCTAACTTGACTTGCACTGCTTCTCCTGGTAATATGGTAAAGCCCTCCGGCTACAAATTAGCCAATGAGCTGTATCAGTCTGGGTTGTTGCTGCTGCTACTTTTAGTCACAGCAGGCAAACCTGTGGCAAGCCAGGTGATGGGAAAGAAGGAAGACGATGAAAAAAAGAAAGCAGAGAAAGTGCAGACTGCTGAAAGAACCGCTGCGAACTGGTGACAGAAAAGTGAAATGGTGTGCTCAAAGATGACCCTGCACATTTTCAGTATGTTTGGCTCAACCTACTGCTGTGAAGCAGGATTCCTCACTATGACCATAATCAAACATAAATGTTGATCTTGATATGTGCTTGAGAATGGCTTTGTCTCCATTCAAACTCTGGTTAAAACCCACTGCTCTCATTAAGCCATAAAAATAAAAATTAAAACAAAAACAAACGGTCTGTTTGGGTGTTTTATAAAATATGTCAATTAGGAAACAGTCTATATACCAAACTCAAAGATTGTTATTCTCTACTTTAATAAACACTTTAGATTCTAAAATGGAAATATTTTCATTTTTTTTCTTTTTTTTAAAAGTCAATGTATAACATGGATGCATAAACACCTAATTTATTCCAGTGTTAAATGCTGTTTAAAGTAAAGGATTATAATTAAAAATGTCTTTAGTCAACAACCTTTACTGATTGTTGATTTTCTTTATTCGGACCCCACTGGTTTTTAATTGGTTACCCGTGAAATACATGTTCCAACAGTGAATGTTTTAGTTTTTTATATATATAATATATATATATATACACTATATTGCCAAAAGTATTTGCTCACCCATCCAAATTATTGGAATCAGGTGTTCCAATCACTTCCATGGCCACAGGTGTATAAATTCAAGCACCTAGGCATGCAGACTGTTTTTACAAACATTTGTGAAAGAATGGGTCGCTCTCAGGAGCTCAGTGAATTCCAGCGTGGAACTGTGATAGGATGCCACCTGTGCAACAAATCCAGTCGTGAAATTTCCTCGCTCCTAAATATTCCACAGTCAACTGTCAGCTGTATTATAAGAAAATGGAAGTGTTTGGGAACGACAGCAACTCAGCCACGAAGAGGTAGGCCACGTAAACTGATGGGGCGGGGTCAGCGGATGCTGACGCGCATAGTGCGAAGAGGTCGCCAACTTTCTGCAGAGTCAATCACTACAGACCTCCAAACTTCATGTGGCCTTCAGATTAGCTCAAGAACAGTGCGCAGAGAGCTTCATGGAATGGGTTTCCATGGTCGAGCAGCTGCATCCAAGCCATACATCACCAAGTGCAATGCAAAGCGTCGGATGCGGTGGTGTAAAGCACGCCGCCACTGGACTCTAGAGCAGTGGAGACGCGTTCTCTGGAGTGACGAATCGCGCTTCTCCATCTGGCAATCTGATGGACGGGTCTGGGTTTGGCGGTTGCCAGGAGAACGGTACTTGTCTGACTGCATTGTGCCAAGTGTAAAGTTTGGTGGAGGGGGGATTATGGTGTGAGGTTGTTTTTCAGGAGCTGGGCTTGGCCCCTTAGTTCCAGTGAAAGGAACTCTGAATGCTTCAGCATACCAAGACATTTTGGACAATTCCATGCTCCCAACTTTGTGGGAACAGTTTGGAGCTGGCCCCTTCCTCTTCCAACATGACTGTGCACCAGTGCACAAAGCAAGGTCCATAAAGACATGGATGACAGAGTCTGGTGTGGATGAACTTGACTGGCCTGCACAGAGTCCTGACCTCAACCCGATAGAACACCTTTGGGATGAATTAGAGCGGAGACTGAGAGCCAGGCCTTCTCGTCCAACATCAGTGTGCGACCTCACAAATGCGCTTCTGGAAGAATGGTCAAAAATTCCCATAAACACACTCCTAAACCTTGTGGACAGCCTTCCCAGAAGAGTTGAAGCTGTTCTAGCTGCAAAGGGTGGACCGACGTCATATTGAACCCTATGGATTAGGAACGGGATGTCACTTAAGCTCATATGTGAGTCAAGGCAGGTGAGCAAATACTTTTGGCAATATAGTGTATATATATATATATATATATATATATATATATATATATATATATACAAATTTGTAATGACCACAGATCATGTGTTATGGTTCTTCCACTTTGGGACAATAAGTTTGTGGTTTTCAGTTATCAGTTATTCTGTTTTTTTTTTTTTTTTTACCTTTGGTTTATTTTCCATTACATTTAAGCAGCCTTTAGTTACTCTCTGGTGCCCCCTTGTGCTTGTTTCCTTTCTTCTTGGCTTCCTTCTAGTTAGTTCCACTCACACCTGCTCCTTATTCAGCTCATTAGCCCATCCTTTGTTCTGTTCCTCTTATATTCTCCACCTCTGCAGTCACTCGGTGCTGGTTCCTTGTTGCTGTTAGTTGCTTCCTCGTCTCTGGCTCCCCACATGAGTTTTTCCTGATATTTTCTGGTTCTTTGTAATTTTGCATTTATGGATTTCTGCCCCAGTTGTCCTATAAAATCTACAAGAAATAATCTCTGCTTCACTCCAATCTGCATTTGGGTCCTCAAGCAACTTTACCCCCCCATTGCTGACATCATGTGGATCATAAAATATATAGGAAGCCATCTATGTTAAGAGAGAAAAACCAACTTTAAACAGAGGTGGTGGACTGAGATTCCAGCTTCCAAAAACATACAATTCAATCATAGACATGATCCCTTCCAGATATCACCAAACCCCCCACCCCATCACAGAGGAACGAGGGACTTACCCGCTCCAGCCGGTGAACAATACCTCCTTAACGACCAACCCTTAACAATCATAGACAGGTTTCAGGTATTACAGGAGACAATCCCCCCCTTAATGACAATCCCCCCTTTAACGACCGACCCCTAGAATCATAGACAGTTTCAGATATTACAGGCTAACGATGGAACTAACGACCCATTCATCGGTTTCTATTGCATGTTTCCAAGCGATACAAGGCGTTGTCTATATAAGACTCAAACTCACTGCGGATCCAGACATTTGAATTGGGAAAGCTTCCTGGAGAGGTGGCGAAACGTCTTCAAATCTTGAAAACCAAGTCCAGTGGATATTTTTTGAATTTTTACGGAATGACTATGACCTGGATGACTGAGAACCTTCATCAGCATCATAAAATATTCAAACAGGAATTTTAAAGGTTTGCTACTGTTAATAACTGCTGCTGTTTTTTTTTATTGTTTTTTTTAACAATCTTTCATTTTAGATGTATTTTTTTTCAACTGCAACATTTTGAGATTTGTATTAGATATAATATCAATAGAATATATTTAAGGAAGTCTGTGCTTTTTAATAGTATTTAAGTAAAATTGTGGAAACATCATTTATTCATGTAGGTCTGACAGAGTTATGTGACTGAAACCAACTTGATCCACTTTATCCAGTGCACTGCATTAGGGGACAACTTTAACTACAGACCTATATCCAAACAATGCATTATTAAAAAAGAATAGCTTATGAGCTTGAATTATTTTACTCTTATATTAAACTTGCCTTTAGAACTTCAATGACGACATCCCGAGCCTCCAGCTCTCCCTCAAGGATGCTAAAAAGCATCGGCAACTCTGGCTTGGTCAGGCTCTCCATGTTCACTTTGGACTGTTGAGACATAAGACAGAACAATAAGATATATTGTTAGTTTATCCATGTCAAAAAAAAAATAAATACACAAAGAAATCCATCTTCTTTCCAAGTTTTCACATTTGAACTGTAAAATCATTTTCCAGGCATCCAGGTTTATGGTCAAATTCAAGCTCTGCAGACATCTGATCTCCTGCACCTGATTCATAAGCTTTTGATCTTTATGAGGTAATTCTCTTGTTAGAAGTCCTTTTCAAACCTAAAGCACTTTAGATTAACTTCTTTAGATTCTAAACAAATAACTGGCTCATTTAGAGGGAGATTTACTATAATATTGACCAAATTAGTACAAAGATTGAATAGAATTTGTAAAAACCTTGAATATTGGTATTTATTTTTTTTATTTGCAGGTTCAAAAGTGAGAAAACTCAAAGTAACATAACCTTTTTCTTTTTGCCAAGATTTCAAGACCTAATGGGACCTGTGACAGTAGTTTTTTTGTTTTTTGTTTTCACACTGTAAATGAGATCTAGTCCCTTTGTAGAGTCTGTGTGCTTTAATCTCCCAGCTGTGTTGGTTCTGCTGACAAGCCCTGCGGTGTCTACATCTCCAGCATCCAGCCGCACTCAAGTGAAAACATGCGGGCCTCACTTTGAAATGAGATCAAAGCTGTCCATGTTACTACACTAAACATAATTTTCTTATGAGAATCATCATGTGGCTGAGATCTCCGCCCTGCTGACTGACTGACTACTTAATAACACACATACAGTGCTGCTTGAATCACTGAAACACTATTTAAGTCTCCCAGTTTGCTTAGAGGCTGGCATTGACTAGCTTTCCGCTTTGAACATTTTGTGGTCATCTCAACTTTCAACTTTATGAAGTCTTAAGGAGAGACTGAACTGATTGATTTCAGAAGGACTATATTTATGAGAAAAACAGAGGGAAGCGCTGCTGGAGCAGGAAGTTACAATTTAGTGGAAAACATCTTTACTTAGGACCGTATCTTGCAAAAGCATTGTTACTGTGAACAGTTTAATCTTTTGCCACATTATTACAATGGCTGGACAGGTGCAAACATGTAGCTAATGTCGAAAACAGCTGCAAATAGATGTATGATTCATACTTCAAAGCATGCACACACACAAAAAAAAAACAAAAAAAACAAATTGCTGCAATCTCAGTAAAATGAAAAAATAATTCAGCAAATTCGCTATACACAACGGCAGTCCTCCGGACCACTAGAAGGAGCCCAACAAGGAACAAACCATATCATACCAAAGTGTTTCTTAAGCCTCTTTTCCACTGAAATGAGCGGGTAAATGCGGGTTTTTCAAACAAGGGTCGACCCACTAGGGCTGGGCGATAATTCAATAACGATATATATCGATCGATAGACGTGTGGCGCAATAGAAAAAAATAGGCTCGATAAAAGTTCGATAAAAAAACGCAGTTTTCCTTCTTTCTCATTGTAGCCTAGCATGTAGGTTTATGCTAGTCACTACTTCCTCCCAACCAATCACAATCGCGGACCCAGGCACGCCGTCACCAAGCGCCGCCCTCTCAAATCACAACACAGAGCACATGAAGATGTCGCAGCAAGGAGAGGCGGAGGAAATTGTTCCAAAGAAGGGTTTTTGTAGTTCGCCAGTATGGAAGTATTTCGGTCATGGCAAGTCGGACAAAAAACAAACCACAGTCATCTGTAAAATGTGCCGGGAACCAGTGAAAACGAAGTCTGATAACACAACCAACTTTTTTTTTTTTTTTTATCATCTCAGCTGCTCACAGCCGCAGGAGTACGAGCTGTGTAGGCCCCGACGCGGCTCTCCTCCGAGGAATCTTCAGGAATTTCGGGAAAATATATATATTAAGTTCTGGGCAGTTTCCCACGTAGTTCCAATTAGTAGTAACACTTGAGAGAAAAATGCTGAGGGGCCAGCAACTTCAAAGTACTAACTCCGGTTACAGCAGGAAACTCAGCTGAAGCTGGTTCAGAAGAAGAATGGAGGCAGGGGGGGGGGGGGGGGGGGGGGGGTTCTACTGTATCCAGATTGGAGCCGAGCTTTTTGAAGGCGATTTTATCCCGGCTTAAGTCCAGAGTCGTTTGACCCGCATAAACATGGGTCAGTGAGACGTACCCACTAAAAACCGATTGTTCTCGGATTTAAAAAGTTTTTTTTGGCCAGTGGGAAAGGGGTAATATTATATAATAATATTTATTTATGTATATATATACATATATATATATATATATACATATACATATATATATATATATATATATATATATATATATATATATATATATATATATATATATATATGTATATATATACATATATATATATACACATATATATATACATATATATATATACATATATATATACATATATATATATATATATACATATATATATATATATATATATATATGTGTGTGTGTGTTCCTATAGCTAACTATACACTTATTCTGGAATACTGTAAGACGGTGTTTGAAATTGAAATGAAATTTCATCCTTTCTTCCTCCAACTTAACTTTACTTTTTTTAAACTTGCATTAAAACATACTGTAACTACCTGTTTGTACAGAGGGTCTCTGATAGGGTTTGTTCCTTGTTGGACTCCCTGTAGTGGTCTGGAGCACTGCCAGTTTGTGGAGAGAATTTGTTTTTGTTTTTTCTTTTGCATCCTTTTCTTTCATTTTGTTCGTGGTTGCAGCATTTTTTTTGTTTGCTTTAATTGTGTTTACATGTTTTGGAGTTTGCATCATACGTGTGTTTGCATTTTTTTCACTATTTCCTGCACATTTGCACTTCTTGGCAGTTTCTTTTTTGTTTGCAGCATTTTTCGATTGCATTTATTTTTGTGCTTGCATGTTTTCAAGTTTGCATCACACATGTTTTGGCAGCTTATTTCACCTTTTGCTGGGTGGTTACATCTACCAGCCACTGTACATTAAATCACAAAATGTAGCAAACTTTATTTTCTAGTTATGCAGTAAACAAAGACTCATGAGAATCAATCAGCATTTCGCCCTTTTCATCTTTCCATCATCTCGGAACACATTCTCTGTCCCCAATGAAGCTTTCAAAGAAAAGCAACATCAAAGCATGAGGAAACAACTTTTTTTTTTCAATTTCCTTGTTCATGATAAACAGTTTAAATAACAGTAAGTAAAAGGAACACTTAAAGGGATACAAAAGACGATACAAAACAAAGAGAGCATTGTGTACAAGTGTGTGTTCAGGTCAAATTTATATTTTTTTCCCCAATAAGTAAAAGAGAGAAGGCATGTTGGATAGTGCAAAAACAAATAACTGCCTACACTGGCTGTGAGGTGACCATTTTGCTCATTAGGGAGGAAATTAGCTCTATATTGGTATGTTTTTGTCTTTAATCCAATGTAGCACTGGCTTGCAAGAAGTCTGCACAACCTATTACCAGAATGTGTGGGGTCAGCAGGGTTTATTGGTTCGTTTACAGGTTTTGGGTGGAGGGTAGGTCAGTGTGGATGCTCTCCTATAAGAACTAATTTTCTTTGCAGATTAACACTCAGGGTTTTATGATAAGACCTCCAAATAAAGAATGAAAAATTCCATCTTGGTTTCATCTCACCAGAGCAACTTCCTCCACATGTGTGATGTGCTCTTTTGGGGTTGACGATCAGATGCAAACTGATTTCTGATAGCTTCCTTTTTCGAATGACCTAATTATTTCATTCATTAAACAGTAAATAATCAGACTGCAATGTTTTTGGAGCTTGGGAGAAAGCCAGAGTACCCGGAGAGAACCAACACATGCTCAGGGAGAACATGCAAAATCCCATGCAGAAAGGCCTGGAATCAAACATGGAATCTTCTTGCTGCAAGCCAGCAGTGCTATCCCACTGTGCAGCCAAACAAAGAATAAAGTAAAAGGCGTACATATATTTTGTTCTTGTACAATGTTGGCTGCTCTGAGTGGATTGTTCTTTCAGCAAATGATTTAAAGCATTTAAATTAATTTGATCAGTCCAAGACTTTTAAAAGAATAGATTGATTACATTTAATTCAGCTGTTCAGTCTTCTTTCTTTCAACAATTGATTTAGTTTTGACACTCTTTGATAATTCTGTGGGAATCATGAATAATAGCTATTCAGTCTATTATTCTGTTTCTTTAATCTCAGCAGTGGACAGAGGTTTTTAAGTAACGAAGTACAAATACTTAAGTACTGTACTTAAGTACACTTTTTAGGTATTTATACTTTACTCCATTACTTATTTTACTCATTACATTTTCACACAAGTGTCTGTACTTTCTATTCCTTACATTTTTAAAACAAACTTTACTCGTTACTCTTGGCTTCGGCTTTATGTTTATAAATATTTATTGCACGTCCTGTGCGCCATTCAATGCAGATCATTGGCGCCATCCACATCTATTGAAAACTAGTGTAACTGGATGAGTCATATGACGCAAACACTCATTGGTTAGCTAAAGGAAATCATCAGAAGCAAGCAGCTGTTTTTCAAACTGCGAACGTGAATTGTCTTTGCCATGCTACGATGTCGGACTCAGAAAAAGATGTTGAAATGTCTGAAAGCGTATTGGGAGATGGAGACAGAGACCAACAAGACCTCCCTCATCCTTGGCCCTATCTCAAAGAATTTTTGAAATAGTCAAAAAATGGGCTTTCAATTCATATAGTGGCATCTGGCTGTTTTTTTTAAAGGTTACTTTATACTTTCATGCTTTAAGTAGTTTTTGGAGCACATACTTTTTCACTTTTGCTCAAGTTAAGAGGTCAAGTTGATACTTCAACTTTTACCAGAGTGTTTTTAAACTGCAGTATCTATACTTCTACTTAAGTAACAAATGTGTGTACTTTTGACACCACTGGCAGTGGATTTCTGCAGTTTTATTAGAGTAACTATAGGTGTCATTTCATATATGGGTAACAGAGCAAAGGAGGATAAGTAGAAACGCTTCTCACGGTTTTCAGAATTTCTTTTGTGATTAAAAAAACTTTAGTTTTCCTTTTACATAATTGCACATAAATAATGCTTCTATATCCCCTAAACAAAAAAGTAAATAAATAACTGCATCTAGTTGATATTTCTATAGAGTAGTAAGCCAAAGTGAAGAAAGGAAAAGGCAGCATTTATGTGGGATCCCTTTGAGGAGTTTTGGTCCAGCCTTTCAGCAGCGCTCCTGCCATGTGGGTAGACCACCAGCGTAAAATGCTAATTAAACTCCAGCATATATGTGCCCTCCTTTGGTTTTGGGTTTACAGGCCCGCTTGCTAATTTCACAGACCGCTGTAATGACTGTGAGAAGTGTGTGCTGTGCACCGCTTTGTCAGAAGTGTCTGAGCTTGCCAGAGCCTGCATGCGCCATTATGCTGCTGTTATTTTAAATGTATCACAACAGTTTCCTTGTGTGAGGAGCAACGGTGATGATTACACAAACATGATGCCATGGGAAATACACATATTCTCACACGTCCTTCAAAGCCACACTTCACATGACCCCAGAAAAAGGGCCCTGTGTCCACAATCCTATTACTTCTGCTTGTTTTAAACCTGACTGGCTCTTTGTAATACCTGCAAGGCTGTAAATGTCTTTAGAAAACACACAGCAGCTTTTGCCAGGAAACATACATTTGCTGCAGACCAAGCAAACTCTAGTGCTCTGTCTGACTGTGATTGTAAAATAAAAGGCCAAAGAAAGAAAAAGTCTTATCCTAATCCAATCAAAGACCAATAACTATCCCCCTTTTTTAGTCTCAGAAGAGGTTATAAGCTCTTAAGCTGAGGCTGAATGGCAGGAAGAACTGCCAATACATTAAACAATCTAGAGTCCACTTTATTTTTTACTTTAATAAAAACAAAATGGCAAAGTGGGTTATATTTTTCATTTTCTTTTTTTATTTTTTTTTATTTACTATTTTAAGAATAAAACCCATTTGCACACATGCATGCCTCTGCAGGATGGGGGGGTCAGCTCAGGGGAAGCGGAGCAGTCTGCTGCGTTTCCTTTTCTCTCTGGATTCTAAATTGGATTTATTTACCAACCTGGTTTCTACAAAGGTCCCAGGATTGCTTTATTGGGCTCTATACCTGATTCCACGCACACTTTTAAATGCTCCACAGATAATTAAGCACAGTTTGACAACTGGAGGCGCTCTAAAGTCAAATCTTTGTGCGACTTATTTGAGATAAAGTGATCATCTGACTGAAAAGGACTTGGATCGGTTTAACACAATACTAAAAAGGAAGGCTTTAACAATAAATACACTTTATGCAATTTTTTTTCTTTTTTTGGTGAAAGCGGTGTTGCAGAGGACTCGACAGTTTTTTTTTCTCTTTTCTTTCTTCCATGATCAACCAACACGATTAAAAGTCAAAATCTTTTCTCATACAGTCACAAACCGCCTGGACATTTAGACTTCTTACCTTCATGAATGTTTCTATGCCGTTTTCTGAACTCCAGCATGAACTTTTCTTCTGTCAGACGACTTGTTCCCCTTGATTTGCGTCCCCAGATCCCGACGCGGCGAAGCAACCGGAGGGCCAAGTGGTTTCCTGAGAGGCAGCTTCATTAGCCAATAGGAAAGCGCGCAGTATGAGTTCTGGCCAATAAGAAATCTCATAATACAAATGTGGGCGGAGCGAGATAAATTCCTCCTGTTGGACTTTTAGTGGGATTTCTTTGTTCAGTTTTTCTCAGGCTGTAGCAGCAGACTTTTACTCACTAAGGACTAAAAGAGGATGCTTTACTGGTTTACTAAACTCTAAGTGTTTCTTTGTGCCATTGCCAGTAAAAGTGGACGATGCTTAGTAACATTGCATTATATCTTAAAGAATAAAAAGATGAACACATTTAATGTTGCTTATAATGTCAATTGATATCTGGGCATTTATATTGCATAAAGTGTTAAAACAGCCTTCTAACGTACTACTGTATATGTCTGAAAGGAAATCTACGTTTTTATTTATTTGCTAAATATACCAAAGTATAATCCTATAAAACACCCATATAAAGGTTCTAAAGACAGACCTGTTTAAATCATTTTGAAAGCTCTTTATACCTTTTCCTGCTGGAATCAGTATTTGATTAGATTCTATAGGGAAAGTTAATGCAGAAAACATGTACAGCCAAACATGTCACACACTCCCTTGTTTGTTAAATAGACATATATAAAACAATCTAAACAACTTCTTAGTAATAAGTCAGGGATGAATGGAGGGTGTGTGGAATTTCATTTGAAGCTCATTCCAGCTACAGGTGCTGGTCATAAAATTAGAATATCATGAAAAAGTAGATTGATTTCAGTAATTCCATTTAAAAAGTGAAACTTGTATATTATATTCATACATTACATACAAACTCATATATTTCAGATGTTTATTTTGTTTAATTTTGATGATTACAAATGACAACAAATGAAAATCTCAAATTCATCATATCAGAAAATTAGAATATTACTGAAGACCAATAAAAACAAAGGATTTATAGAAATGTTGGCCAACTGAAAAGTATGAACATGAAAAGTATGAGCATGTACAGCACTCAGTATTTAGTTGGGCCTCCTTTGGCCTGTATTACTGCAGCAATGCGGCGTGGCATGGAGTCGATCAGTCTGTGGCACTGCTCAGGTGTTATGATAGCCCAGGTTGCTCTAATAGTGGCTTTTAGCTCTTCTGAATTGTTGGGTCTGGTGTATTGCATCTTCTTCTTCACAATACCCCATAGATTTTCTATGGGGTTAAGGTCAGGAGAGTTTGCTGGCCAATTAAGAACAGGGATACCATGGTCCTTCAACCAGGTACTGGTAGCTTTGGCACTGTGTGCAGGTGCCAAGTCCTGTTGGAAAATGAAATCTGCATCTCCAAAAAGTTGGTCAGCTGCAGGAAGCATGAAGTGCTCTAAAACTTCCTGGTATGTGGCTGCGTTGACCCTGGACCTCAGAAAACACAATGGACCAACACCAGCAGATGACATGGCACCCCAAACCATCACTGACTGTGGAAACTTTACACTGGACTTCAAGCAACGTGGATGAAGTGCCTCTCTTCTTTTCCTCCAGACTCTGGGACCTTGATTTCCAAAGGAAATGCAAAATTTACTTTCATCAGAGAACATGACTTTGGACCACTCACCAGCAGTCCAGTCCTGTTTCTCTTTAGCCCAGGCAAGACGCTTCTGACGCTGTCTGTGGTTCAAGAGTGGCTTGACACAAGGAATGCGACAGCAGAAACCCATGTCTTTCATACGTCTGTGTGTGGTGGTTCTTGAAGCACTCACTCCAGCTGCAGTCCACTCTTTGTGAATCTCCCCCACATTTTTGAATGGGTTTTGTTTCACAATCCTCTCCAGGGTGCGGTTATCTCTCTTGCTTGTACACTTTTTTCGACCACATCTTTTCCTTCCCTTCGCCTCTCTATTAATGTGCTTGGACACTGAGCTCTGTGAACAGCCAGCCTCTTTAGCGATGACCTTTTGTGTCTTGCCCTCCTTGTGCAAGGTGTCGATGGTCGTCTTTTGGACAACTGTCAAGTCAGCAGTCTTCCCCATGATTGTGTAGCCTATAGAACTAGACTGAAAGACCATTTAAAGGCTTTTGCAGGTGGTTTGAGTTAATTAGCTGATTAGAGTGTGGCACCAGGGGCCATCAATTTTGAACCTTTTCACAATATTCTAATTTTCTGATATGATGAATTTGAGATTTTCATTTGTTGTCATTTGTAATCATCAAAATTAAACAAAATAAACATCTGAAATATATGAGTTTGTATGTAATGTATGAATATAATATACAAGTTTCACTTTTTAAATGGAATTACTGAAATCAATCTACTTTTTCATGATATTCTAATTTTATGACCAGCACCTGTATAATTGAATAATTGAACTTTATTGATCTCACATTGGAGAAATTTACCTCTGCATTTAACCCAAGTCCTTGGGGAGCAGTGGGCTGCCACTGTGCAGCGCCTGGGGAGCAGTGTGGAGTGAAGGGTCTTGCTCAGGGACCCAGAGTGGAGGCTAAGGGGATCAAACAGGTTACTACTGCACTGCTCTAACCACTAGGCCTACACTCCCCCCTATACCTGTATAGCTGATAAATGCAGATTTTCTCTAAGGCTGGACCTTGGATTTGGGAATGGCTTTAAACCAGGACTAAGTGTGTTATTGTTCCAACACAGAAAATCTGTAGGCTTTTTGTAACTTTTGGGGGAATAGCAATCAAAAATGCCAGACTAGCAATGTATTTTTTATTTTATTGTATCTGTTCAAACAGGAACATGTTGAGAATTAGGAGCTGTACAAAACACCTATGGCCTAAATTGGAGCAGAGTTAATATGAGCATGTTCAGCTTAACTGAACTGAGCTGTTCGTGTACATGAGCAGTTCAGTTGTGTTGCTTGTCCTCAAGCAACACAACTTGTCCTAAGATTGTCCTCAATCCAGAGCAATAGAAAAAAGCAAACATGTGGCAAAAGATCTGCACAACTGAAAGGAAAAATAGGGTTATTTGAGTATTCTATCACACAAAAGATCTTTGCCTGCTGTAATACATCAGAGTTGCCAGTAGGGTGCAATGCTCACATAAGGTAGCCTCTAAAATAGCTGCCAGTTATTTTGTCAGCATATGCAAAGCAAATATAGGCAGTCAGAAAAAAAAAAAAAAAACAATGGTTTCATGCATTGCTGCCTAAAGGTCCTCTTGGCTCTTCAGGATCATAAACCCAGTGTTCAAACCACAGATTAACAGCGCTGTCTAAGTGGCCGGAGAGGAAATCTTAATTTCATTTTAGCTTTACTGTTTTATTAGAACATTTAAGGCTTACAAAAGGATGAGTTTTATCTGTGACTCAGAAGGATGTGTTTGTTTTTTTTGTTTTTTTGATGATTGTGTCCTTTCTTTTTATTGACACTCTTATATCTTCAGGGTATATTGAGAGCAAAGTCAGAGAACTGTCCCTCCTGATAGGCTGCTACTGCTTGCCTCTTCTTCAGCACTAAAATGAGTCTCTATTTCATGCTCCTCAATTAAGCTGCTCTGCCCAGCCTGCTGACTGGCTGCTGTGAAGAATCTGTGTCCTTACATTCACTTTCCCTGTACTTGTTTCCCTGTAAAACACATTCCACACAAGGTTTTCCATTTAGTTTAGTATAGTTTAGTTTTAAATAGTTGCTAAAGCATGTAGTTCAAATATGAACCAAGAAAGATTGTTTTCGGTTTTGGCCTTTACAATTTAGATGGAAAGGCCATGTGGAAAATTGAAATGGCTGAATGGCTGGGCTGTTTCATAAGAATGAAAATTGGTTTATTAAAAAGTTACATGAAGACATTTGCTGTTATAGCACTGTTTTTGAGTTCCTAAGATCATATAAACACAGGTTTAACACAAGGCAACCTAATAAGTGTTTAATCAATAGTCTTGTTACTTGAGCCAGGAACTTTCTATGTGTGCTACTGTTGGGACTACAGTTAGCTTTTAAATGGGCTGAAGAACACTTAAAAACCGTATAAGATGCTTTGTATCATGGTAAATATTAAAATTTGAGAAATTGTGAATTTAACTATTATAACTTCCTGCTGAAGTTGTAATTATGTTCATCCTTTCATTGTCCTCTGCTGATCTGATGGCACAAAGAGGTTTAGGAGGGAAACCCAGACATGAATTGTCTCATGCTTTCCAGTTCATTCTTGGGGAAGCCCAATGTGCGCAATCCTAGAACATGAGGGAATATTTGGTCCCTCTAGTCTGGGTGAGTCCCAGATCTTCTCCCATGGAAAAAAATCTGAAAACCTCAAAGGAGATGCATTTGGAATACTCAAAACTAACTTTATGTCATTTCAAATGGGATCTAGTAAATTTTGTCTTAAACCACAGGGGTGAGGGGTGTAACATAAATAAGTTGGTAAACTGAGAGTTTTGGCTTTCATTTTAGCTCTATATTTAAGAGAACATTTTTCAGACTTGTACGGTGAGCCTCAGCTAAAAAAAACTAGAAAAAAAATATTTAGAATATATATATTTTTTCCCCTTATGTAAAAAATGTACTTGGTCCTACTTGAATCACCAGGAATCACCAAAAGGTTAACAAACATGTAAAAACATCTATACCACGGTGAGCAAAAGATGTCCTGAAGACTATTTTTGAAGACATGTTGTTGTTTTTCTTTTTTTATTTTAGGTTGAGTTTGTATTGCATCACAACCGATTCTAAAGTTATGGCTTCTATGAAGTTACTTCTTGAAAATTCTGTCATAATTTTAAAAATATCTGTTTTTTTTTTTAAATAAAAACTGTTTTGAAATGCAGTACAAAATGTAGTATCCGTATATTTGAACGAAAGGCCTCTAATTTAGTTGTTTTGGGTTTTTTTTTTATCCTAACAAATATCAAGCTAATGACATTAAGATATAAAAAATATTTAACTAGGTCTGGTAGTTTGATGATCTGATATGTTTGAGGTGTAAAAAGAGAAAAATACTGAAATCTTTACAGCACTTTTTAGGACTTACATAAGCTCCCACAGTTTATGATCTGGCTAAAAAAATAAATAAAAAAAACTACAGACAGT